ATACCGTTTTGGAAGAAATTAAAAAAAAAACATGAAAATGTGGATGAATTTAAAATTGGGTGAAGTCTTAAAAATCAAAACGCGTTTCTATGGCAATATAATTTCGTTTTCATTCTTTGATAGAATTTCAATTAACGTTATACCGTATGATCGAATAAAAACGGCGTCAGCGATGGCTATGAAATGAAGATCGCTGTTATTTTATATGTAAATTTATATGGGAAATGTCATCGATCGTCATTTCCAAGCCAACTGGACGCCGTTTTTATTCCATCATACGGTATTTGTCGCTGTTATAAAATGTTAAAGAACCACTAAATTTATTTAGTTAAACGCTACGGAAAGGGTGATATAGTTAACGGAAAATGTGATACCTTGACAATAGCAAAAAATATGACATTAATCAAAATTAATAATAACCATAGAAACGCGTTTTGATTTTTAGGATTTTTTTTAACCACATTTTCATGTTTTTTTTTTAGTTTTTTCTAAAACGGTATGGAAATTTAGAAAAATATAAGCGAAATTAATCATTTTTGACATTTTTTCATATGGTTCATTTGAAATTGTAACATGCGGTTCATAACGACAAGTTCACTCCAAATACCAAGTGTGTGGTACCAAATTATTTGTAAAAAATGCTTTTTCCAAATATGCTAACGAACCATCATCGTTCCATTTGAAAAAAAAAATGAGATATAATTAAAAATACGATTTGGGCATTTTTCAACCGGCCAGAACAAACCGGTATATACAATAACCGGCAAACGAAAAACATGGGAAGATTAAATTTATTTTTCCAAGGCTCCTTGATTAAAAATTAGTGTTTTTAACGCAGCCATGGCACTCTAAATTGAAATTTAAAATAAATTTATTTTAAGCGAAAATGTCAAAAGTTGACATACGATATGGTGTTCTATAGAGAGTGTCATTTTCTATCGAATAAAATTAAAAAAAAACCGAGGGCGCCATTTAAAAATCAAAAGTTGTAGTCATTTCCGGTAAAACAGGAAGTGACCAAAAACAATTGAATACGTCAATCAATCCTAATTTATGTCATATACTAACATACCAAATCTGTTTTTTTTTTATCTGAACAAAGGGGATAGGAGTATGAAAATTTTGCACTGAATATCGTGCCCTTAAGTGATGAAAATTACACAGAAACGATTTTTTAAAATTCATCCCCTAAGAGCGTGAAATTAGGGGTGACATTTTTTACAAGTGAACTTTTGAATATTTGTACAAAAAATTGTAAAAGTTCTAGAAGTATTAAATTTACAAACATATAAGTCTATTAAATGAAAAATGATCTATTAAATGGATGCTAAGAATCTATTTTTGAAATATGCCTTATGCAGGTGAAATTAGACACAAAGGTTGACAGCAGTTAACAAAATTGACCGCAGTACCAAAATCAGTACAAGGCAATCATAGTAAATCAAAGTAACGAATATTTGAAATGATAACTTAGTAGTCGAGTAACGATTAGTAACGAGTAACCAAAAGTACTTCCCCTAGGAGATGCAAGACCTTGTCGTTGGTGGGGAAGCTCCTGGTCAGGTGCTGGGGGGAATCCCCCCTAGCACTTGGCTTGGTCTAAGAAGCATCTCACTCATCGTCTTGTCCCTGACTGTAGTGTCGTGGCCAGAGAATTGCACCAAGACATATAACGATACCGGGCGGGGCTACGGACAGCCTCAACCTTGGGGCACCGGGGGGCACCCCATTGTATTTTACCCCTTACTTCTACATGCGGGGCTCTGTAGAAGTGGACCGACTGTCCCTAGCGACTCATGGGAACACTATGAGATCTGGTAATAATAGTAATAAAAACATCACCGGTGAAGCTGTGGGGAAACCCCCTAGCAACACTGGGAACAGTAACAATGAAAGTTCCAAGGGGCCAAACCCAAAGAGAACTACAGGAGAGGTGGCTGACACTTGCGTGAGACCATCCTCCGCAAGTGGCATACAAGCTACCACCTCCTCCAAGGGCCGGGAGCCTACCTCCTACCTCTAAACCCAACAGGCGACACAAGCTACCGTTTCGTCTACCCGGCCTGGGTCGTAGCTCCTCGACTGTGAGGTAGAGATGGGCGGTTATTGGTAAAAAACCGGTTATAGGTTAACCGGAATTATCTTTAAAAAATAATAACTTGACAAATTTAACCGACACAAATTAACCGGTTATTCAAATAACCTAACCTAGCAAAACTAAATATTTAGGTTTCCTATAGGTTTACTTACCTCTACACTCCAAAGGTCTACTTCAAATTTAGATAATAAACTTAGTTAAATCGTATGATTAAATAGAGGTTGTAGCAATGTAAGTATGTATATGTACAAAATAAATTTAAATAAAAATGCTAACCTCACTTTTTTGAGTAGACATGTATATGATATTAAAACTAGTAATTACTTAACGTTCAAATAAACCACACAACTCACAAGTTCTACAATCTACAACCAAGTTATTTTAATCAAATACCAAAAAAAAAATAAGGAGACTGAATGAATAGATAATGAAAGATTATCTTCATTCATTACTTGAACTTCAATTTTGTATTCTTTAGTCTAAGCTTCAAGAGAGACTTCAAACTACAAATAAAATATATTTACGGTGAAACGTGGGTGAAACTAGGCGAAACCATGGAAAACTTTTGAAGAACCGTTGAAAATCCGTTAAAGTGGGTTAAAATTTAAATATAGAATTTAGAGAATCTATTTGAAGTTAGGTTCGTATCACTTGGCTAGCTGGTGGCTAGTAGTAGTCTATGCCATTAGTACTTTGTTTTACGGCCTGACCTGTCAGGGCCATTCGGCCGTTGTTTTGATTATTATCATCAGGGTTCGCCTGATGCCTGATTTAATTTTGACATTTGATGTTTGATGTTATATATTTGGTCATATATTTTCGTTTTGGGAGCGGGAGCGGGATCTCCCGTTATCGTCGTAATATCTGGAAGATCCGTGCCGTTCGCTTCTTCGAAATTTACGATTCAAACAGCTAATATTTAATTGTTACTTGTTTTAAACAAGTACGATTTTTTAAAAAATAACCGGCTATAGGTTATTGAACGTAATGCAAGGTTATTAGGTTAACTGGCGAAAAAAAACTACCTTTAAATAACCGGTTATTTTAGAGGAAAATACCGCTAACTTGACTTCAATCAATTATTACACACTTGTGTATAGCGCTAATAATAAATTACATCATCTATTAGGTACTCCTAAAGATAAAATACTTACACTGAAAGGTTGGGTATTTATGAAATCTCATGTAAGGACCGTAATAAAATATAAGTTGGGCAAACTAAACGATCAATAATAACTAAGTAGATGTAAAGAACACATGCCTCGATTCAGATATGGTAGTTCAATCTTGTGATGGTTCGACATATTTTTGTTAAAGATCGTTGTGTAGATATTAATTAATAATTAAAAAATTAATCAAACATATCTTAAAGGACAAACAATTAGATGCATATGAGAACGTGGAATAAATAAATGTAAAGAAAATATTACGAACAGAGATAATGGCCCAATTCCTTTCAGTTCTCTGTTCCTTTTGCTCAACTTCGCTCTATTTATTTTCTCTCGCTTGGCTAATTTTGTCACACCTGGCAGTAGATCAAAATAAAAAAAAGGGCTCAAGGTGAGGGCTTTTGGATCTCCAGCCTCCACCTTCGTATCCAGCCAAATAATACGATATTACTAATTTATTTTGTCATAAACGTTTCTGGAGTATACGGGGTGCTTCTCGAAAGTAACTTACCCCTATAACTTCTTTATTTCCTCAGTTAAAAAAACTAAATTTGGTATGTTAGTATATGACGTAAATTAAGATTCATTGACGTAAATATTCAATTGTTTTTAGTCACTTCCTGTTTTACCGGAAATGACTACAACTTTGGTTTTTAAATGGCACCCTCAGTATATTTCTACTTTATTCGATAGAAAATGTCACTCTGAGTAGAATGAGATGCCATATGTCAACTTTTGACATTTTCGCTTTAAAAAAATCGCATTCTAAATTTCAGTTTAGAGGGCCATGACAGTGTTAAAAACACTAATTTTTAATCAAGGAGTCTTGGAAAAATAGATTTGATCGTCTAAGGTTTTTAGTGTCTTGTCCTGACCGGTCAAAAGCTCAAATCGTTTTTTTTTTAATAATTTCGCATTTTTTTCAAATGGAACAAGCGCGGCTCATTAGCATATTTAGAAAACGCATTTTTACGAATAATTTGGTACCACACACTTGGTATTTCGAGTCAATTTGTTGTTATGAACCGCATGTTATACATGTTACAATTTCAAATAAACCATATGCGAAAATGATATTCATTCTACTCAGAGTGTCATTTTCTATCGAATAAAGTAGAAATATGCCGAGGGTGCCATTTAAAAATCAAAAGTTGTAGTCATTTCCTGTAAAACAGGAAGTGACCAAAAACAATTGAATACGTCAATCAATCCTAATTTATATCATATACTAACATACCAAATCTGTTTTTTTTTTTATCTGAACAAAGGGGATAGGAGTATGAAAATTTTGCTATGAATTCTATGGAAGTAATAATAAATTTGAATAAGTAATATTTGGCGACGTAATTCCGGAAAAAGCCGAACCGCTCCGAAATTATCAAAAGCTTTAGAGAGCGACCGTTTTAAGAATATAGCCAAATAGTACTTGTATTTAGATTGTCCTTATGAGCACTTTCCAATCCAAACTTGTTTCTTTTATCTATGATCCGTAGAACCCCTGCTACGATGGACTATCCGCGAGCGGATGTGCTATATGATTTCAGATTGACAACACAGGCCCGATGGTCCACGCGGACGGACTGCTGCATGTGAAACAGCACAATATTTACTATTTCAAACAGCTGTGATGACACAACTTAACAACCTTGATGTATATTATCGTCGTCTACGGATATGTTCTACACATATAATTTAATGTGGCTAATCAAAAAAGTTAAATTAGCACTGTCATTTGCTGCGTCGCACGATAACAACAATCATAATAGATATATCTCTCGTCCGACGAACACTTAATGAACAAATACGCGAAACGATAACAAGGCAAAACAAAATTATTAATATTGTCCTGGCTAAAAATTAATTATTAGTATATGAACACAGTGCGCTAGAGGGTTGCATTTAAGGTTGCAAAGTAAAGTTTGTTGTGTATAGTGTAAGAGACCATGGCAGAAAAAACAAAATTCGAAGACTTGGAAGGGCTGATTAAAGGTACTATTAAAGGAGAATTAATTGAACAATCCGCCAAATATTTATTAGAACCTGGTGAGAATTATGGCAGTGTCATGTACAAAGTAGATTTTAAGGTAAGTCAAAAATTTCGAATAAAAGTGTTTTGTTGTGTTCAGTGATTTGTGCATGTCTGCCGCAACATCAAAAATTCGATTCTTCCTGCAATTTTTGCAAAAGCTTTAAATTGTGGGGACGAGTTTGAATTCGAGATAAAATCTATTTATCAAATTCCTGACCACTTCGAAAAAGTCGTCGAGCTTTTCGACAGCAGTCTCACGTGGTCGTTTCTTTCCAGAGCTGGATATCATTTTATCGGGGTTAGTTTTCAGCCTTTTTTTTATCTTCTGTGTGAATTTTTTTATAGCCGATACGCTAACTCCGGTATAAAGAAATATCCGCTCAAGTTTACGTTTAAGCGGCAACTTAAGCGAACTCTCTGTAGCTTCTTCATCGCAAACCCTATTATGAACACAAGGAAATAAACCAAATGAGATTTCATCCACGTTATTATTCACTTACCTATATAAATTAGCTATTATTTCTCTTGTCTGACTATGTAGCGTCTTGCCCTTAACACATTTGTTCGTTTTAAAACACAAATATACGATCAAACTTGATATTAATAATTAAAAACTACGAACGAAAAACATTATAACAAGATAACAACACAATAAAACACAATTTAACTATCAAATATACGAAAAATATAGGAATAAAGTTTAGGATAACCGGTATAAAATAATGAAATAAAGTAATAATGATCAAAAAAATGACACCGCCACTGGATATTTCAATAGTATTCAATATTCCTACTATTTTCAGAAGAGACCGTGAAGTTGGGGATAAAGCAAGCGAATAGGAAAGGCGTAAAAGCCATGGCAACCGCGTGGTAACAAATCCTGTGACGTAGTCTCGCCAATCATGTTCGACGAATAGGCGGCCATGCGCGGCGATGCCGGTTTGCCAATGATATCGTTGAAAAATCTTCAACTTTCATAATATGCGGATTATACAGAATGAAAGAAATAAGTTATTAAATAAAACATATCAAACAATATGAACTACGTTAAAATTCCTTAGTAATATTCGTCAGAATATATGCTAAACAGATTATATATAATAAAAATATATTAAATTTATAGTTCATGTCTGGCAATTTTGCAATTTTATAGATAAACGTGGCAATATCGATTTTTTTTCTCGCATTCCTTCCGTAGCTTCAGATCCGCTGGTCAAACAGTACTTAAGGCCACTGTGGCTTGACCTCGCCAAAATTATCATCGAATGCCATTCTTCGACGCCTTTTTTTCGATCATATGGTATTTGAATAATGGTTGAAAATGTAAACACATTTTCGTTGTTTCATTTCATTTTGTTGTTTCGATCTAAAATTTCGATAAATTATTATATTCGAATAACTATTAATGCGAAACGTTTAGTTATAATACAGAACATAAAAATAAATTGTAGCTAAAATAAATTATAGTGAATTATATCAAATCAAAAATAATCTTTATTAAATAAAAAAAATTAAAAATAATTGCATATGTAATTCCTACAACAATGGTACATGGCGAAGTTCAAATCTCTGATAAACATAGGTACGTCTTGTTTGAATACAAACTCAAACAAAATAATGTAAAGTTATATTTTTAAAAACAATTTTAAAATATATTAGACAGATCAATAAATACTTAAAAAAAAGCGTCATGTTTGGAATTTCAAAACATTCAAGTAGTCGACATATGTGTACAGGGTGGGTCAAATTCGACGCTTTTAAACACCCTTTTCTATAGGAGATAGACGAAAACTAATATTGGTGTCTGGAGCTCAATTTTCATTAAAAACATGATGGTGAAAACTGCACATCAATATCTGTTACCGTTTCGGAATTACGGGGTGTTTTTCAAAAATGTGCATTTTTAACAAATCGTTGTAACTTTTTTACTATGGAAAATTTTGAATTTCTATGAAAACATTTCCAAAGCACCTTTTTACGTAGAATTTAATGGTTTAAGTATAATTTTTTTAAAACTAATAATTTAAGAGTTATCAACAGAAAAATTGATTTTTTATTTGGGACACCCTCTATATTTTTGATTAACTGAAAAGAATTTAAAATTACCTTTCCAAAAATATAGCACACTTGATATTTTGTTATAATCCCCTTCGAAATACAGAATTTTGAAAAGTTCGCCACTTTTAACTAGTAGGCTTTGGACCCCTTATTGATGATATGCCCTTAATGGAACTCGAAAACATATTTTTCCAGCAAGACGACGCACCGCCTCTGAACGCTGAAGTTATCAGCAAATTTTTGCATCCAAATTCAAGAATAATTAAATAGCTAACCAAGATTCCAGCCGTTGGCCGTCGAGGCCGCCTGACTTAGTGCCCATGGATCTAATCCTATGGATATATTTGCGGAAAAATAAAGGTTCCTTATTCTTCCGTATAATCTAGATAAGAATTAGAAATACTTAGCAGTTATGAGAGGGTATCTTTCACCCCCACTGAGTTAATGAATTCCGCGAGAAATGTTCAAAATCTGCCTCGTCTCGTCTGTCCATAACAGAAGACGGTAGATATGTCGAACACCTGTAGCAAAATCTCATGTCTTGGTTTGCTATTTATTTTTATTGTTATTAGATATAGTTTAACAGTGTTGATGTTGGTTAAATATATTTTAAATTGTTATAAAATTCTGCATCTCTCATAGCAAATATTATTTTCGTTTTAATTGATACTCACACCTAATTTTTTTTTGCATTACAGCCGGTGCCGTTCAAAGCCTACTCATTTAAAGCGGGCGAATTTTTATATACTTTATATCTCGAAGAGGAATCGAGCAAAATATCAAGTGTGTTATATTTTTCGAAAGGTAATTTTAAATTATTTTCAATACATTAAAAATATCAGGGTATCCCATATAAAAAATCAAATTTTCTGTTGATAATTCTTAAATTATTAATTTTAAAAAAATTATACTTAAACCATTAAATTCTACGTAAAAAGGTACTCTGGAAATGTTTTCATAAAAATGATTCATAGCAAAATTTTCCATAGCAAAAAAGTTACAGCGATTTGTTAAAAATGCATATTTTTTAAAAACACCCCGTAACTCCGAAACGGTAACAGATATCGATATGCGGTTTTCACCATCATGTTTTTGACAAAAATTTAGCTCCAGACACCGATATTAGTTTTCGTCTATCTCCTATAGAAAAGGGTGTTTCCATTTAAAAGCGTCGAATTTGACCCACCCTGTACAAGTTATGAAAGCTCAGACAAGACTCAAACCGAATAATAAAAAGTACCTATAAAATATTTTAAAAGATATTAGTGAGCATCAATATCAACGAAATGAACTACTTAAATCAAAGCATATTAAAGGTTTTGTATTATTCAATTATCCGGTTATACCTATTAACTTATTAATATTCCTTTGAACGTCTAAAGCAAGTCCAAAGTTAAGAATAAGAAAAGTAGAAACATAACCAACATGAGATACAGGCCAGAGACATCGATTTGTGACGTCATGTATTGACATGATCCAAAAGCAAAATATTCAGGAGATATTGTCCTGACCGCAAAATTATATTTTAGAAAAATTTACACACGAATTTATTGCACAGGGTGTTTTAAAGTTAGAGTAAAAAACAACCCCTTGATTAACCCTAACGATTACAAAAAACCGAGTTTACAAATTAAAGTTGATATACACACGCCGGAAAAGTCTGGGGATATTACAATTTTATCCAGCCATCGTCAGTAATTTTATTATTTGCATTTTTGATATAATAAAATTAAAATAAACAAATAGTTTACAGAACGTATTGGAAATAAAGATGCGTAATTTACCGAATTTTTCAAATTTGCCTGGATTTTTATTGAACTCAAAAAAATACACACATTTTTTTTATTCTAAACTGTGAATTAAAAAAAAAGATAAAACCATTTTTACTTAATAAAGGGTATAGCCTCCTCTACTGTTCATTACAGCCCTACATCGTCTCTCCATGCTCCTGATCAGGTTGTCGATCTCTTCTTGAGATATAGCCTGCCACGCTGCATTCACGGCCCGAACCAGATCTCTACGAGTTTCACAAGGCATACCCATTCTCAAAATTCTTCTTTGGACCGCGTCCCATACGTGCTCGATGGGGTTGAGGTCAGGAGATTGTGCCGGCCAGGGTAAGATGTTTAATTGATGAGCATTGATAAACTCACTTACCACTCTGGCTGTATGAGGCCGTGCATTGTCATGCATGAGAATGAAGTTTCTCCCAAAATCATTGGCATATGGTAACACGACAGGCTCAAGAATTAAATCACGATATGTGATTCCTGTTAGAAACCTTTCAAGAAAAACGAGATCGGTTTTTCGGCCTAACTGGACTCCTCCTCAGACCATAACTCTTCCACCTTGATAAGGGTGCACTTCCTGAACATGATCCAACCGAATAAGATTTCCAGGTTCTCTCCATACCCTAAGCCTTCTCGAATCCGGATGAATTCCAAAGCGTGACTCATCCGTGAAGAGAACATTAAACATGATCTTGAGCCCACAAATATCGTACCTCTCGATTTCCTCTCGTTAAGGGTTGAGCTCTCCAGGGGCGTCTGCTTCTTAAGTTGACCTCCCTTAATCTATTGTGAACAGTGTCAGGACTAACGGTTACATTATGTGTTTCCTGGAGAATTAAACTAAGCTCTGGTGCTGTAAGAGTCGGTCGGCGTCGAGCATTTAATTGTAAAAAATGATCTTGCTGAGGGGTAGTAAGGCGATGTCGCCCTGTGTGGCTTTCAGCAACATCACCACTTTCACGGTAGCGTGCACTTAATCGCGATATTACACTATACGTTGTATTTAATGCTCTAGCTACGTCGATTTGGTGCATTCCAGCTTCGAGCATACCCATGGCCCTTAGCATTTCGTCTCTGTTAAGATGTCTACGCTCCATAATGTCGTTTAATACTAAACAGAGTTATCTGAATGAATTCTGGCCAGTTATCATAAAAACATAGCCAGTACAGGTTAAATTCGAACAATTGATGATAGGTGCTTTTTATACATTTGACAAAAAATGGACAAACACTTCTGCAAATATCACAAATTTAGAAATAACTAGTGTGACTACTTCGTTTCAATCGAAGTAGAAAGAATCGGCCTACAAATATGTGGTTGTTTATTCAAAACATTTATTTTTAACTTTAATAAAATGATATCCCTAGATTTTTCCGGTGTGTGTATATAATAACTATATACAGCTTGCTAAAAGAATCATGAAATTAGGGCTAAAAATAACAAAAATATAACACTAAATTTGACTAAAAATTTCTTCGTTGCGTTTTTATTGCATATGATGAGTGTATAAAAGCTCTACAATTTCATGTATATTTTAAACCACTTATCGACCTTCAATTTGCACAAATATCTCTTTCACACGCTCAGTAATAACAGCTGGCAGACATCTCTAACATTCTCTGTTTGTAGGTAAACGATGATGGAAAAGTGAAAGAATACCATGCGGTGGCGAAATGCACACCTTTAAACAAGGTGACCCAAGAAATGTTCAACATTCAAGTTACGTTCAAAGCCGAAATAGGCTGGTACACAACGGTCGTACCAGCCTATCAACAATTTCAAAATGACCAAGGAGCAAAATCGGAGATAAACTTTTTTCAAAAGTTGTACGGCAGCCGGATTAACTTACAGCCAGAGAGCGACGTAGTGGACGAGGACGGTGTCATTTTAACTGAAAATTTAACGTGTCTAGGTATGAAATTCAATAATCTGCTTTATCAATTCAAAAATAAAATGTATTTTTCTGTCAAAAAAGTATGCGCATCACAAGGATACTATAGAGATAAGGATAGTTCGATTCCTATCTTCCTGCACTGTCAGTTTTTTTACGTCATCTACTGACCGAGTTGAAGTTGGCGCTAAAGATTTTAGACAGTGACAGTTATTTTTGCATTTGACGGACGAGCGCACAGTGCGTTGGAAGATAAATTTAGCGGGATAAAAGCGTTTGGTTAGAAATAAGCCAAAAATGTGTACTGATAAGAATAAATAGTAGACATTCCAATTGATACAAAAATGCATTAATATTCTTTGTATTTCGATACATTTTTATCAACCAAATTTGATCGTTTTCTGTTCAACAAGGCAGAGATCATACGAAAACAAAATATTTACAAGTGCTTATACATTTTATTAGAAAGCCAAATTATGTTGAAGATTGCCAAAGGTATATACTTTTCTACTGTACGTATATTATTTGTTAAAATCCTTCGTGCCTTTGTTCTGCAGATATCAAACTTTCACTTTTTTTTTCAAATATCGATATATTGAATGATGTAGATCTTTTGAGTTACCAATAGTTACCAACACAGGTAGTCACAGTCACAGGGAGTTCAAGCTTAACAGGTGAATGCCCAAAAAGATTCATTTCAATCGGATAGTATAAAAATAAAACAACTCCATCAAAAGGCACTGAGTTTAAAAAATTGTCTTAGATACTTACTCTATATGAATTTACAATTACCGAGTGTTAAAATTAAAATATCTATCTTATTTATTATTTTCAAAATAAAATATATTTTTCTAAAATAAATTATAGAGGGTGTCACAAGATTACAAATTAATTAAAAAAAAACTGCTAAAGAGTTTTTTGATATCATAATTTTATGTATTTGACAATAGTTTACAATACGGTTTTTGTGTGTCATATACGAATAATATCATAGTTTTATTATCTTGTATTTATTTATTAATAAATTAAGTTGTTAATAAATAAATAAATTTAACCATATAATTGCTATATATTAGACCATTTGCTACGTTCTTAGATTTTAAGTCCCAAACATTGCTCTTGAAATTTTGTCCCGCTAGAATAACCATCCGCCGCACTGTGGAGCGCTGGTCAGCGCGTGACGTAGCATTCCACGGCGACTCGACAGCGGCTATTTGACGCGATCGAACAGTCCTTTAGAATATATACAGTCCTTGTGCGCATCATACTTAATAAATTATAATACAGGGTGGTCTGAATTGTAATCGGGAAACCATATATCTATTAACTATATACAGGGTGCTACAAATTCGAGGTACGAGCATTATTGGTATCTCGGTAACCGTAATAGATACGAACGTGGTTAAATTGGGACAAAGTTGTGCTTTGGGATGTTCAACAAAAGATGCCATCAAAAAAGCTTTAAAAATTTCAAGAATTGCTGAGGTTTTTGGTTTTCAAAAAAAAACGGATATTTTTGAAAATCAAATTTATTTTTTACTATCGTTACTTTTTAGAAAATCAAAAAACTAATTGCACATTTAGTGGAGTGCTTTAAGCCCTTATGGAATACAACCCTCGGAATTCATTTACTGTCAACGAATTTTTATAAAACTTTTTGCATTGTATTGTTAATAAGATATATTACAAAGTTTACCCATTTAATTTAAATTGAGTTTAAATATCTTTGGTTAAATATGAGACACTTTTTTCTGCGTTCTAACTTCTTTAGGGGTACTTTTGGTATATTTTTACTTTTGCAATAGTTTTTTTTACCACCAAATGCCTTTTATAGAAGAAATACTTTTGTATTTAAACGGTTGTAACTTCTAACTAAGAAAAAAATAACAGTTTTAAAAATGTCTCATTTTTAAACCACTTGCCTCTACATTAGTATTTTATCTCTATACCCATGAAATATTGACATTTTAGATTATTTTTAAAGATGTAACAAATTTTCCAAAAAGAAAAGTAAAGTAAAGATTTCAGTTAACGTCTCCTTTTTGCTGCCAGGGCTAATCTGGACGGGGCCTACTTTGTTTACGCGGAATCCGAACCGCGGTCCTCGGCCATATCATGGTCAATGGCCTACCGACTTGGCAAGTGTCTAAATCAACTCTTACTCACGAGATATCCGATCTCATCCGATCTCGAACTGGCGCGGCGTGAATGGGCAGTGTGTGTCAATAGATTTTACACTTTTGCCTTTATTTGACAACAGCATGATACAGAGTTTCGAACCAGTCACCTGTCCATCCACTAGTATCGCCTTACGGCGCTTAACTTCGGTGTTCTAATGGGAACCTGTGTTTTAACGTAGCTGGGCCGTTGCCCTTTCCAAAAAGAGTCCAGATTCTAATATCCAGATACAGTTCGCTTATTTCATTAAAAAAAAAGGTTTAAATATTTTTATGTTAAAGAGGCCTAATTAATATAATCCCAGTATTCAAACTGCATTAATTGACTGTAACGTTGATTAATAATAATTGCTCCAAATACTATTAAACTGAATTTTGTATGTGTATTAAAGAGTGTGGTAAAAAATAACACCTTATAAATTTTATTTCATTTTTTGACGAATGCTTATTTATAACAACAGAGACGTTCATTTTAATAACTTATTATTATATTAATTTATGAGTCAAATCCACATTTATTTAGAATAAGTTATTAATTAAAACAATTAAGTATGTAATTAACTAATTTTTGGGCGGAAATAATGGTGGGTATATTTAATTATTAGTAAAATTATACAGGGTGGCGCCTCTCATACGCTGCGGAAGTTCCAAGGAGAGTGTTAGTATATATCGAAATGAAATTTTGGCAGCATATGTAGGTTAACTGAAAGCATTTTATAAAAATATATAGAATTATACAGGGTGTCCCAAAAAAAGTTACACATTAAAGTTGTGTTTTTTCTAATGGAACACCCTATATATTAATTGATTTTCGGATTTTAGGGAAAAAATAAAGGTGAGTTTTATTAAAGAAGCATATACCTAAAATCTAAGGTTTTTGATATATTTCACATTTTGTGAAAATTAAGAGTAAATTTTAAATTTCGATAATATATAGCTACCTAAATTTTAGTTGGCCTTGTATAGATTAAGATTTAAATACAGTAACCATTGTATGTTAAACCAAATTGAAATTTGACCCGAAAAGTTATACAGGGTGTGACAAAATTAATATGGAACATTAGTCACTTTTAAAAGCAAGCTACTCCTTTATTTTAAATGAAACACCCGGTATATTTTTCCGGTGATCAATGGGGAATTTATATATCTTCAAAATATTATTAAGGTTGCCTACCCCTCAGACAAAGATTTTCCCAGATATTTTAATTTTTATGATTTTGCATCAGTAAATCTTTATTATTTTAAAAAATCTAGGTCTCTCTCTTTTGTTAATTTAACAAAAATTAAAGATTGTAGAGTAAAATACTCAAGGGTAATAAAAAGATACACGTTTAAAACATATTTTAATTATTACAGAATTAAAACTAGATATAAACCTATAATTATGCGACAAAAATTAACTAGATGAAATCAAATGCTCAAGATGCTTCCTTTCCTGTTAACTGCATAAAATGATTGTCTTTTCAAAAGGATCTTTTCATTTTAAAGGGCATATGTGGAGTTCTATCTCGAAAAGCAGCTAAAATAATTTCTCACATATTGTCGACAATAGTTGGTCGAGTTTTATAAACACTGTCTTTAACATATCCCCATAAAAAAAAAACAGACTAAATAAAATCTGGAGCATTTAAGCATTCTATTAATTGGTGAATGCACACTGCATTCACCAACTAGGTAATGGAATCATATCAATTCTCTCTGATGTAGGATAAGTTTGCATTTGTGGCAAATTTCTGAGAATTTTTTTTTAACTGACACAAAATTATAGCTAGTTGTTACAGTTGGACTAATTTGACAGCTATGTTGAAGTAACGTCAGACATAATCACCAGCCACCTAGATTTTATCAAATAATAAAGATCTACTCAGATCGAATCATGTAAATGAAAATATCTAGGAAAATATTTGTTTGAGGGGTAGGCAACCTTAATAGTATTTTGAAGAGACATGAATTCTCCATTGAATGTCGGAATAATATACTGGGTGTTCCATTTAAAATAAAAGAGTAACACGCTTTTAAAGGCGACCAATGTTCAATATTAATTTTGGCTCACCCTGTATAGCATTTTGGATCAAGTTTTAATTTGATTTAAAGTACTATAGTTAATTTAACGACATATTAGGCTATACGGGATAAATTCCAATTTAGGTAGCTTTTATCGTAATTTAAAAATTGTTCTTTATTTCTAGAAAATGTTACATTTAAAATGTTAAAAACCTTACATTTTAGTCATATACTTCTCTTGTAAAACTCACCTTTATTTTTCGCCTAGAATCCAAAAATCCATTAATATATAGGGTGTTCCATTACAAAAAACGCACCTTTGATATGTAACTTTTTTGGGGGACACCCTGTAGAAGTCTCTATATTTTTAAAAAGTGCTCTGAATTAACCTACATATGCTCAATATTTTTTATTTAAATACAAACTGTCGTTTTCCTTGGAGCCTCCGCGGCGTATGAGAGGCGCCACCCTGTATAAGAGTTTCTTGCCTTGAACTGCTAATATAGAAATTAATTCCACGCTGTGTTCGACATAATGTGGATCAACCTGCTCTCACTACCGTTTTCGGGGTCCTACCCCATCATCAGGTGAGCTTGGGTCGTTTCCACAATGTGTGTTTGACAAGTCGTGTTTATATACTCTGCGCTGTGCTCGACATATTGTGGAAACGACCCAAGCTCACCTGATGATGGGGTAGGGCCCCGAAACCGGTAGTGAGAGCAGATTAATCCACATTATGTCGAACACAGCGTGGAATTAATTTCTATATTAGCAGTTCAAGGCAAGAAACTCTTATATAATTTTATTATATACCTAAAAACTGCAAGAAATTTATTTTCTATTATTTAATTATTAGTATACTCTTTAACAAGGACTTAAATAGTTTTCTTTTTGTAAACAAATGGGCTTTAGTACATATTATGTTGCTTTAAAAAAATCTAAAATGTCATTATTCCAAGGGTATTAGCCTTGTATATATATTTTTAGTATTAGTAATATTTATTTTTTCATTTCAGGTTATAGGAACGTGGACCGTCATAAAGGATTTGATTTAAACGCAACTTATTCGGTACTCAGAGATCTTGCTGCTTTTCATGCAATACCCTTGGCAATAAGGCTTAAAGATGGAAATCTGTTTGAAAAAAAAGTTGCTCCATATTTTTCCAATTTTGTTATGGATCCCAAATTGTGGACAGACGTGGCTAAAATGGTATTAGACATTATTGACGAAATACCAAGCTGTCTATATTTGAAGGAAAGGATAAGGCAAAACGTAGAAAACGCAAAACCATACGAACCACATTATTCCGGCGATGGTGTTTGGAAAACAGTCATTCACAATGATTTTTGGTCCAACAACGTAATGGTTACCGACGACGAAGATCCAAAAACCATTATATTGGATCTTCAGGTGCCAAATATGGGTAATCCAGCAATGGATGTAATTTTTTTTCTTCTAACGTCGGTCAGTCTAGACGTAATTACCGATCGACTAGAACACTTTATTCACCACTACTACGTCACATTTATTGCAAAACTTACTGAATTGGGAGTCTCAACTGACAAATATAAATATGTAGATTTTCTGAACGAAATCGATAGAAATGCAACAAAATGGGAGTTCATGCATGCGTTATGTCATACTCAAATAATTATGAATGACAAAGGAGAATCTGATTTTGACAGTAGGGATGTCGATTTTAAAATGGAGGACATTGATTTTCAAGTGAAATTAACGGACAGACACAAAATCAAATTTGAATCGATCATTTTAGAAGCGGCTAAAAGACATTGGATCTAAGTTAAAGATTACCATTGACCGCGGTATTGTATATTTATAAACTTTATATTAGAAACAGAAATTGCGGAAATAATTTCAGTTGTTTTAAATGTTATTGTTAATTATTATTATTATTGTTAGAATGAGCTTAAATTTGGTATGTTAGTATACGACATAAATCAGCATTGGATCTAAGTTAAAAATTACCGTTGACCGCAGTATTGTGTGTGTATACTAAGGGCTTGCAAAGGTTAGTCTTGGGTCGAGATTTCCGTATGTAAGAAGAGTACAATGCCTTTATAATGTACTGAACAAAGAGAGGACAGTAAACACGTTGCCAAACGTATGAAATAAACCGAGAAACTGTGCACATCGCTAAGAGACGTGGAAGGAGATATAGCAGATTTGTCGCAGTTGACCGGTCGACCCAATCAATAGCTTTGTTCGGGTTCTTGTTATTACCGATTCTGAACCATCCTAGAACTCTGCAGCGCACGCGCAAATGAAATAATGTCTTCATGTTTCCTTCTGCGCATACGCATCACAGTTCTAGGACGGTTCAGAATCGGTAATAAGAGAAACCCGAAGTAAGCTAATATCAAAACATCTGTCAGTACTTAAAGTTCTAGGGAAAGGTGTACGTCATGCGTTCAGCTTCGTGATTTAATTACGTCTCGTGATACTTAATTTGTTTATTTATTAACGAGTCGTTGTAATTTTCCCTATAGCTTGAACTTTTTTAAGTGCAAGCTAAAAACGCCTGCATTTTTGGTAAAAATAAGTGGAACTGAGTGGGTGTTCGATAGTGGTCGCGCTATTAGAACTCTGAATTCAAAAATCGATATCTCGAAATCTATTAGAAATAATAGATTGTAGTTTTTTCAAGAACTTTGTTAATATTTCTGGCTGTATTTTCTTTGTAGACAGTATGTGAAAATCTTTATCAATAAAAAAATTGCACGATTGCTGAAAATTGCTATGCTCTAAAAAGTAAATGGATGGATTGTTTACAATTTTTGAATGGAAAAAGTAGAGTTTTTAAATTATCGCGATTACTGACGTTTTCTCGTTATAAAAAAATGACACCTTAAAGATATCCTTATAATTCCATTTCAGATGCTCAGAAACATGTCTAATGATTTTATCTAGTTATCTCTTGAAAAAAAAGTCTTTTAAAAATAAGCGGTTTGCGATCGTGATTTTACTTTACTTGATAGGGAAATGCGTATCGGCAACGCCGCAAAAGCACACCGTCGCGCGTCGCGTCGTTCAGTCGCATTTCTCTCACTCCCACTTAATAAGATCCCTATGCGATGTACTTCCACACATGTAAATGCAGACCCAAAAGTAACAGTTGCCAGCACGGTATTTATAGACAATATATTGTTTTAAATGTTATTGTTGATTATTATTATTGTTAGAATGAGCTTAAATAAAGATAAGAATAAACAATAATCGTGCATTAATTTATTAAAACGATTAAGTAAAGTTTAACTATAACTATTTTATTTTTTTTCATCGGAAATTACTACTACTTTTTCTTTATTAGATAGAAAATAATATTCTGAATAGAATGACATATCATATGTCAATTTTTGACATTTTCGCTTAAAAAAAATGTATTTTACATTTCGATCTAGAGTGCCACGGCTGTGTTAAAACCACCAATCTTTAAGCAAGGAGCCTTGGAAAAATAGATTTGATCGACTAAAGTTTTTCGTGACTTTGAAAAATGCCCAAATCGTATTTTTAATCACAAATTCAATTTTTGGAATGGAAAACTGTGAAAAACATTGAATTTGTTCTTATGTATTTCATATAAAATGGGTCAGTTTTTTTCTTTAGGGTACTATTTTTGTTACTAAATATTTTTGTGGTTTTGTTTGTTTTATTTATTTAATAAATGTTTTTATACTTTAATTAGGATAGTTTTTTACATTTCCAATTACATATTGCTCGTTAGTCGCAGAATATAAATTCTTTGAATTTTTGAAATTAGGATTAAAATATATAATTGATTTAAATATAAAAAGGGCGCACCAAAGAATGGTGCACGTAGGCGCCAAATACCCCAGGAACGGGCCTGAGTATTTGTCTTTTAAAGTATTTAAAAACAATGTTTTCGAAGGAAGAAATTAGCGTGTATCAAATCGGCAGTTCCTCTTTTGAAGCGAAAATTGGCAAACCGGTTGGAAATACATTTGTTAATGTGCTGTTGTTGTCGAAAACAATGGGCCAGTGCTTTCGCAAAATTTTTCTCAAACACAACCATCATGGGAAGTGAAAGCGTCTTTTAGATGCTCAGATTTTAGAACTCTTTTTTCCTAATTTATTGTTAAAATTATTAATTAACCGAAATGTTTACGTTATTTGAATTAATAGTAAAACTGTATTGTTCTAGTCTGATAATTATATCATATGTTTTAACGAGTCGAGCTGAACTCAACGTTATTTAACTGTGTATTGAAATTTTAATTAGGATTTGTATTATGCGATATTTGTGATATTTGATATATCTACAGTAGGTATATGTCCCGGATTGTCTTTACAAGAGGAAAAACTTTGTTATCGGTCCCATATGCAATCTTGCACATTGGGGATCATTTGTACACTCTCTTCAATAATTGATTGTAAGGGTATTGTCTTCTGCCCGACGGAATATGGTTATCGCGTCCCACAGTGCTTCGTCCCATGGACAAAAATCGAAAAAAGAAGTTAAAATTTACTAATATCTGAATATGTAATTTTATACTTATAGCAATGTTCGACCATCCTGTATATTATTTTTCATAAACAGCGTTTTTTGTTAGCAAATATTTTCACTAACAATAAATTTTGCGATCATTATCTTATCAGTGAAAAGAATAACATTCATAGTAGTTCTGTATATTATGGAGTTAAGCGGTACGTACTTAATTGAAAGCCACTATGGATATTGTTAAACAAGGTATGTACTTTAAATTTATTTCTAAACAAGTTCGTGATTGTTTAGTTTTTATTTATTTTATAAGATGATTCTTAAATGGGTATAAAAATTTTACGTTTTCAAACTTCAAAAAGGCATTAAAAAAAACATATCAAAACATATCGTATTTATTGAATATTTTGTTGCTATATTCATACACTTTTAATTTTTGTATAGTTCACCTGCGTCTGCTTGCGACGAAGTTTATTTTACAATACTTTTCAGATGGAGTAAAATTGATAAGCAATGCCGATCTGGTTAATACTTGGCTTGATCATAGGGACAAGAACTCAAAATTATTTGTATTTCAAAAAATGTGTTCTTTATTAGATATTGATGAACCTTCCAGTCAAATGAGACACCACTTGTGCCTAAAAAAGCCCCCTATGTTGAATTTTTTTAGAATTTAGAATGAGTGGGAGGGGGGTTAATCACTTCGACCTTACAGATCCATTGTGTCCCCCTTTCTTGAATCATAACTCATCATACAGTCCCAGGGCTTTGACAAAAGTCAGTATCTGGGACGGTTTTATAGAGGGTAGTTCTCCATCTCCAATATCATAACGTACCAAAATTCATGGCACGAATGGTTGTCGTCTCGGCGCACTCAGTGATGAGGTGTACTGGTGTTTCACCATCTTCCCCACAGAATCTGCATTCACCGTTTCTTCTTAGTTTCAATCTACTGAGGTGTTCATTGAGGAGACAGTGTCCTGTTAACCCCCCTATGTTGAAGCGAAACGTCGCATAAAAAAGTTTCCATCTTCAATTTATTATAAAACCTCATACCCCAGAAAAGGAAAAAATATTATATGGATATGGTCTATTAAAGAGGTAACTATTAACATCCGAACCCCTCATACCAACAAAAAGAACAGTAACAACCCGAAAAAGTAACATATCAGAAAATGATGTACAGAAATATCTTACATGTGAGGATACTTCATCTACCTGTAATTTGGATCCTATAAATTTTGAAGATTCTGTCAGAAGTGATTCTTCTGAATAGAGTAGTTACGAGCTATGCATTTTGTTATCCTAAAGTAAATTTATAGTACCTTAAGTTTTTTTTTAATTAAATATAGCATTAATGTTTCTTTTTCATTAAAGAAAAACATTTTTATCTTATATTAGGTTTATATTGTAGGAATCATGTTCTAATGTTATTCCAATTCTTTTTTATCACAGGAATTTATTTAATACTTACACCGTTTTCATACTATAAATTATTATTTCCTTAGATGAAACACAGCTCCAACATTTTTATTATTTATAAGATTCTTTTTCATAAACGTGGGACTAAGAACATCATCATTTAGTACAATGAGAGTACTCATCATTTGTGTCAAATAAACCTAGTTTGAATAAATTGCCTACAATAAAAGAGAAGTTTTGCATTTTTGTCCTCTAGAGCCATATGTTCGAAGCACTGTGCGTCCGGTATCCCGCTCCAATCCCTGATGTTCCGGAGCCATGAGTGTTGTTTCCTTCCTGGCCCTCTTCGACCCTCAGTTTTGCCCTGCAGGACTAGTTTCGGAATGGCCTCTCAAAATGTGCCCAAAATATGACATTTTCCGGGTCTTTACTATATTAAGCAGTTGCAGGGTCGGACTGGCCATATAGTCAGGGTGGCGGATGCCGCACAGCTTATTCGTGACGTCATCAACTGGAGGCCTGAACTTTGATTGCATTTGATACACTTTATACGTATATAATGGATATAAACTTTAATTGCACCGAATTTTTAATAAATAATAATTAAACATAAAATTTGAAAAACATCAGATTGCTATCCCATCTCACATTATCCTTTGTCATTGTATTTATTTATGCTGTAAGTGTGTCTAAGTTTCTTTTATTTCCTTTTCCAAGTCTATCATTATTTTTTAACAACAGTATGTTTTTCAGACGTGTATTTCTAATAGAATTTATGACAATTTTTACAATAACTTAGCATTATAAATAGTACATTGCGGAAATTTTAATAATAGTGTTATTACTTTTAATGTAATCCAAAGATATTTTTGATAAAAATATGTTTTTATTGTGAATTGTGAGAAACTCTTCATGGCTTTGCAAGACTGTTAAAAATTATATATTCAAATAAAACTATATTAGTTATTTCATCTTTTGGAAACCCAAGTCTGCCTTTAGTAAGGTTTTTTATAAGTGAATTTTGTTCAATATCAGTGTTGTTTGAAAATGTTAAATTATTTTTAGGGACTTTTAGGGACATTAATGACTGAATCTTAAGTTTCTTTTCGCCTTCATAATATAAATGTCGAACACAAATACTGTACTGACTCCCGGCTAACTGTCTATATTTTCCAAACCTACTTTCAAGAGGATCAGTTTGCAAGTTCTCTAGTTCTCTATATTGTCAGTAATTTTATTATTT